CAAGCTCTGTGCATAACTTTATTTCGCTGACTTCCGGTTTGTACTGTGTCGGCAAAATCCAGTGTCCAGCTTGTCGCTGTGTGACAACCATTGAACAACGTCATGTTTGTTGCAAACCTGCCAGATTTACCTGTGACAAATGTCAGCGATGTGAACAGAACTGTCACCCTACTTTCACCTGCACCCAGCAGCAACCGCTTGCTGCTGGGTGCAGGTGAAAGTAGGGTGACAGTTCTGTTCACATCGCTGACATTTGTCACAGGTAAATCTGGCAGGTTTGCAACAAACATGACGTTGTNGTGAGTCGGGAGTGGGAGGGGAGGGAAAGTAGCAGGACAGGTAGAGGGGAAGAAAAGGAGGAGAAGGGTGATACAAGAAGAAAGGGGGGCTAGTGTGCGTCTTAGAGGAAGGGATGGAGTAAATCCTTTTCTTCATCATTACCTCGTCTCTGCCACTGCCCTCACCTTAATTAGTCTCAGAGCAGCGCGCCCGGCCAGAAGTCTGCCTCACCCCTCCATCCATCTCTCTCCCCCCTTCACACCCCTCCTCATCCCTTTCACCTCCTTCTCTTTCTTCCTCTGCTCTCTCTTTTTCCTCCAGCGATTTCCACACTTCCTCTGTCTCTCTCGCGTTTGCGCTTCATCTTCGTCTCTGTGGAAATTGACTGAAATACCAAACCCCTAACCCCACAATATCAACAGCTGTGCAGCTACACACACACACATCACAAAGAGTTTAATGTTGGTAAATACCGCACACAAACACACACGTGGAGGAAAACGCGGCTGCTCCAGGCTTGGCAGCTATAAATACGGAGGACTGCAAAGAGGAGGAAACTCGGTTAAAAAGTTAAGTGGGGAAAAAAGCGGCGCGCTGAGATTGACACCCCGACGTCTCAGCTCTCTAGAGGCTAAATTAGGAGATCCACAGCTCCTCACACACACACACACACACACACACACACACACACACACACACACACACACACACACACACACACACACACCACACACACACACACACACACACACACACACACACACACACACACACACCTTTCGAGAATGCACAAACTCACACTATTTTGTAAGGCAGGTGTGTGTGTGTGTCATGTCAGTCTTCCTGGTCCCCCGCTCCTCCACACACACTGAAGGCCCGTCCAATGTTCCCGCTCCACTGCTGAATGCTGATGGCCAGCGGGACATTAAGAAGATACTGCACATTAGCTACAGTACCGCACTGACTACAGTCCCTTATTCTATGAAACTTGATATAGAAGTTACTGCCATGGCATTTCACCAAGCAACTTCAATTAATCAAGAAACCCTATGAGAGCGTGCGGCTTTAACATACTTACATTATTTCTTTCTTTGGAGGCTCTTTTCTTTGAAAACCCTTGTAGCCTAATCCAGTGAAAGTTTGTTTGAAACATTTTTTAAAGTAGGGTACATGGGTAGATATTTATTGTAATGAATGCATCGATTATCACTATGACTAAATAGATGAAAGCATGTCAAACAACTGCAGAAACTCACAATAGATCATGACAAAATCTCACGTAACAAAGATGGATCCAAACAAAAAACTAAATGAGACGCACAAACGGCTTTTCTTCCCGACACAGATTGTATAAAACAGTGATGTCAAACATAAGGCCCGAGGGCCAGAACAGGCGATCTTAAAAGGTCCAATCACAACTGGACAACTTTGCTGAGTGTGCAAAATTACAAAGAAGTATTTAAATCTGAATATTTGATAGAATTTATGGCTATTCTTATTTTTCCCTGGGAATCATGCTGTCCTAAGAGTAGCAGGCCGTATGCTAGCTACGCTATTATACAGTATATCACATGCTTACGTACTGGCTAAGCGACACAACACTGTCAAGTGAGGGCTACTCTTCATGCACGAGCTGTCGGTGCAAAATGTGAGTCCAAAAGGAGAAAAGTGGACACAGAGCGATGTGTTTTCCATGAAAAGATTGAAGGTTTCTATTTTTTTACAGACTGGGGGCCAGTGTCCTGGGTGTGTTCACAGCGCCTTTCTGTGTTCAAATGATATATTATTGGGCGCCACTGTCAGGTTCTTCATGCCAAAATGTGCAAGGACAATGGAAAGGAGAAAGGAAAAATTAAAACAGCTGTGTGTTTTTAGTGGTGGCCAAGAGATCAGCGAGAAATCTTAGTCTGTTCATCATGTCTTTATGGATTGTTTATTAGTTGTGGACATTTTCAGCACATCTTGAGTTGTTATTAAATGTTTTTTATGCAAAGGCTTTACTGGTCACTTGAGATCTGGTTGGCCTGCATGTGGCTCATGAGCAAAAATGAGTTTGAGACCCATGGTTTTCAAATATATATTTTTGTAAAACCTAATTCAAAGCAAACGATTAAATTCAGTGTGGCGATCCATTTGGAGGACTATCATTGAAATCTGTTTAGTTGTTTATTCTCACACTGTGTTCTTGTCCTACTTGAAATGTCAATGTAGTTAGTGATGGTCTTTTTCCTGCTTTGTCATTTGCAGAATGAAAATGAAGTAGATGTAAAGTATTAAAGAATGTCTTTCTATAAACTGAACCATAAATATTTAAACAGTTAACATTGCACATCTACTTATAATTGCATCAGTATAATGTAAACTGAGAGCCTTGAATTGTGGAGCTGCAGAGATAATTTCTAAAGACTCAAAAGGAAAGAAAATCCAAGAGAAATAATGAAAAGTTGATTGTTGTTAAGAATTCAACAGAAAAAAATAATATGTCTCTCTAATGAGTGCATTAGCGGCATTCTGCCTAATGCAGTAATCATTTAATCAATCTGTGTTCAAGAAAAACAGATTCCCCTCTTAAGGCAAACTGAAACGCCACCACTTCTCACTTTACCTCCGGTGTGGTGACGTTAAGAGCGTCTCCTGCAGAGGGCGCTGTTCACATCGAAGTCTCTCCTGACCTCTGCTGCCTCCTGCTGCCACTAGATGGCATTCAGGCTCTTCTCAGACCCAAACCAAAGCTAACTGTTCATTCGTCTGCTTCCCTGCTCGTTTGTCTCCTCTGGTTGTTGTGTTTTTTACTCATTTGACCCACCTGTCTATATATGAATATCTTCAGGGGGTTAATGTGAAGAACTGATTAGTTAACATCAATAAACCCTTGCTGAAGAAGGGTCCTATTAGAGCAGAAAATGAAAATTGATATTCTCGTCCCAAAATGTGTATTTTTGTAAATGTTGTATGTAATCAGAAATATAAACTTCTACTACTTGTTTGTACTTATTGTTTTTTTGATTAGTTTGCTATTTTTGCGTCACATAATGGAATGATCTGTCAATCAAACGGTGTTATTAAAACTATGTGAATAAAACATAAAGTATATATACACTTCATTAAGACGTAGTCACACTTAATATATCTCTTAATCACTAATATGTGAAATACGAACAATATTCATTTTTAGAATTTATGAATTTACTTCCCTTTTTTTGTACTATTTTATATGTTCATTTTAACCATGGATGTGTACTTATTTGATTATTTTTATTTTATTGTAATAAGTGCCTCTTTATACCATATGTAGGTCTATTTTTTTAATCTTTTGGCTTGTATCTGCAGTCTAACTTTGATGTAACACTGTCAATTTTCCCGTTGTTGTATAAATAAATACTTTCTGTGTGTGATATAAAACTAAAACACACACACATCACATTTACCGAAAATATAGAAACAAGTGAATGTAACGATGTCATTAAGGTCACATTCGAGCCAGCCTTTAACATATATTTGTGTATTATATTAATGTAATGTAATGTGTGATTTGTCAGTCAGATATAAGGATGGAAATAAGGATAAAAGACGGCGAGGAAGGATTGTAGGAGAGGAAACGAAGGTATCTTGTGAACCCTGCGCCTAGAAAGGAGTATAGTTTTGTATTGGAGTTTATTATTTAAATACTTGAGAGTGGACACACACACACACACACACACACACACACACACACACACTCAGACACACACACACACACACACACACACACACAACACACACACACACACCACACACACACACACACACACACACACACCACACCACACACACGACACACACACACACCACACACACACACACACACACACAACACACACACACACACACACACCACAC